CTATTCAGTACTGGTGAGGTCTCACCTAGAGTACTGTGGCCAGTTTGGGTCACTGAAGTTCAGGAAACATGAACAAATTGAAAGAGTCAAAAGGAGAGCAACAAAAATTATTACAGGTCTAGAAAATATGATAAGGGGAAAAAGTTGGAAGAACTGGGATTATTTGGTTTACAGAAAGGAAGACCAACAGAAGACTTGATAAGATTCTTCAAATAAAGCAATGGTTGTTATTAACTATCTCCTGTCCACAGGGACTGGACAAGAATGCATGGACTTAAATGGCAACAACAGAGATTTAAGTTATATATTAGAAAGAACTTTGTAATGATAATGGTGGTTGAGTTTCCAAATAGATTACCTAAAGAGGTTGTGCATTTACCTTTACTGAAAATCTTTAAGTGCAGGTTAGATAAATATTTGTCTGGAATGCTTAGAGGGGCAAGCCTGCCTTGAGGCAGGTTGGACTTGAGCAGGGGTAGGCCACCCCCAGCACATGTGCCAGAGCATGGCACACTAAGGCATTGTGCTTGGCACTCGCACCTCAGGAAAGGGACCAGGGTTGCACTGCCATAAGAATAGGGCCCCTTGCAACTCCCCTGCTGTCCACCTCTGGCACGCCAACATCTTACAAGTTGAGGTTGCAGGTGTTTTTGGCATTCTGCCCAAAAATGTTCCTGACCCCTGGACTAGAGGTTTGCTTGAGTTCCCTTCTAGCCCTATTTTTGTATGAGTCTATGAAGCTTACTACCTGCAAAGTAGCTTTGCTTGAAAGATGTTGTATGTATGTTATATAGTTTGCTAAATCTTTTGATATCCTTTGGGGTGAAAGAAAACTACACTGTAGCCCTGAATAGAAAGGGACTCCCTTTACTCATGATAAGTTATGGACAAATTTTATGCCCTTCTTTATTCCACTGAAAAAAGGAAACATATGACTTAGTTTACTGCTAACACTTGCTACAAATATTATAAAAGTGCATGTAAAATAGAACTGCCTATAAATGCAGCAGTCTCACAGATAAAGCTGTGTCTATGATGTATAGTTCAAGATCGCTTCTGCTTTGCCTTAAAAGCCATGCATTATTTCTATGCACTTATGCAAAGCATTTTAGATTGAAGCCCTCTTAAACCTGGGTGATCTATTGATTCAGGGAGCTGAAGATTAATTCCAGATGCGGTCATGCTTTTCTAGTCCTTCAAAAAAGTAACTACTGCACCATCTGTTTTGTAATAGACAATTTCAAAGAGTGTCAAGGGGATGTTAAAGACATTGGTCAAATGACCATAGATACCTCTCTCACATAAGAATCCTAGAGGTCACAGTGTCTCAGAGAGATTGATATTTTCACTTTTCATTGACTCTGCCACCATGGAAACTCAAGGAACAATTTTCCTTCCTGCCCAAATAAGGATCAGAAAATGTGTTCCAGATTATTACTAGTGTTACTGAGCCCAGTTGGGACCTGAATTCAGAACAGTGATTGAAAATCAGTTCAAATAAGCTGTCTTGCATCAGATCTGAATTTGGTTCCTTCTCTATGTATTCAAACAGCTTGGCTTTGTTTTTAGAACAATTGTTAAAGGAGGTGAAAGCTAAGTTCACCTTCAATTTGGTTGGTTGCCAATGAAACAGGCAGTGTGGGATTGTGGTAGTTCATCAAAATGAATTTTTTCTGGTTTTGATCTCAATCTGTTCAAACTAAATGCAGTGCATAAATGTTTCTAAATATGGCAGATTTCATCAATATCTAGGTTTATTATCAAAGATAGCGCCAACTTTAGCATCAACACAAGAAAATTGAAGACAGCTGTGAGACAGGAATGAGTTATGATCTTTGCTCAATTCCACTAATATAAATCTGAATTTCAGCGCTCCAACTCAAGATTTTCACCAAGCAGTTGAAACAGTTACTTCAAAATGAATTGATTGATATGGGAGAGCTACTGGATATTATTCCAGTGTAATATTTTCCCAGGTAGTCCTACAACTGACTTTTTTTTTGCAATGTTGGCAACAATTAAGCAGCAGGAAAAATAAATTTTCTAGTAATGAAAGCACTCCAGTTCTTTTCCCCATGGGTTTCCTTGTGCATCCTATTATGCTTTTTTATGTGCAGAAAAGAACAATTCAACTACTAAGTTCCTCAAGTTCAATAAGGTTCACCCCCCTTCTCCTCCCCCTCATAAAGCACATTTCAGCTTCAGGGCCATTAGACTATATAAATCTTTAGGGCAAGGCCTATATTTATTCTGTATCTTCACAGGTCCATGCACATTGCTTACATGTAAGAAATCAATACTAATTCAGTTCCTTGTCACTTTTTCTCCAAGGTATTATTAGACTTCAGTTTTCTTAGTTTGCATGATGTTTGATGAGAGGAAATCCTGCAAGTTTTCAATCGCATTGACTCAATTTTGAATACTGTAGCATGACACCAAAAAAAAAATCAAAGCCTCAATGGTTCAACTCTGAAGGACTTTAGTGCAACTTAAAGATCACTCATGGAAGAAAAAATATATTTAAATGGTTAAAATACAGAGAATTTTAACAAGCCTCTTGAAAACAGTTTTCTTTTGACTGAGAGCTGTGGGGTACAGCTAGATCCAGTAAAGGACTTGGGCAACTAAAAAGTTCTCCTGCACTGTTTAGCTCTTAAGATGCGGCATACATGGAAATTCAGATACCTCAGAATGAGGTCCAAAGAAAACAGTACATGGAGCAAAGAATCACCTAGGACTAGCTAAAAGGAGATGATGAGACTAAAATCCTGCTCCTCCCAGGGGCTCAGTCACCTCAGTAAGGGCTGCAGTGAGGGGCCTCACAGGCTGGAACCTTCTCCAGAGAGTTGGTCACCATTAGGATAGGTTTGTGTCCTTTAATTTCGCCTAAATCCTACTTTCGGTGTTTTTGTCCTTTGGTAGATCTAGCTTACAGTCAGTTAATAGGTAACGAAGATCAATGGCTCCAGTATTTTCCTATATCACCTTCTATAAAATTCTGATCTCAACCTAAATAACACAACACAGCACAGCTGTTGACCTCTCAGCAGCTTTGACTGAGGACTAGATGTTTCAAGCATGGAGCAGTCAAGGAAAGGGCTGCAAAGCCCTTAATTAAGGTTCAAATGAAATCAAATGGTAATCCTTTCTTACATGTAGTATTCTCAGCCCCAGTGAAATCTGACTCCTCTGCTTTTGAGGTCCTCCTGAATGGCCAACTTGCTCCAGCTGAGTCCAGCCACCCACGTTCCTCTCATGACGCAGTTATCTAAATGGCAATTGCTAATCTAAGGAAAGACACCTGTGCTATGGGCAAAAGAACACTTCTCCCTTTACCAGCTACTGGCTGGCTTATATACACCCTGCCAAAGTGATATATGCCATATAGAAGGTATAGATGCAAGTTGCAACCCAGGGAAAAAGAAAATGATCATATTGTTTGTTTGGCACATGCCATCTTGAGCGGAGTTCAAATTTATAACAGTAGTTAATCATTCACTTCATTCACAAACAGAAGAGTACATTTTTTAGAGGGGGGAGGAGTGGAGGGGAGGTTAACTCATTTGTTCTTCATTGCCTGCCCTGTGGTAACCCTTCTGCATGACCCTTACCCGAAGAAAACTGTTTTTGAAGGTGTTCTGCAGGCTCTTTTATAAGTGTTCCTTAGACAATATATTTGTGTGTTCAGTATTTATTTCATACAAAGAGTTCAAACTCTCCCTCTCCTTTTGTGATCTGTAGACTGACTTATTTTGGTCACTCTGAGCATATACTGTATTGATGATAGAGCCATTGACTTAGGTTGGATGTGTATTACTCCAGGCCTGGGCAGATGACAGATGTACACTGATATAATTTAAATCAGTGTTGTATGTCAGTGATTTGGAGTTGAGAGACAAACAGCTATCCTCTGTAAGCTCTACACATGCTAGATGACAGTGTAATGCTTTACCAGGGAATAGGGCTCATCTGCCTTGAAGAAACAACTACCCCTGATTATCCCAATTAACAAATTATGCAGATGTATGCATGTCATCTGCCCAGACCCATTACCTGAATGGAGTCAGAAATGGTCACCATAAACCACTATCAAAAATAGTGATTAGTAATTTTACTGTTTCAAATGCTAGGATCTTTGGTTTTGGGAGAGGATTTGAATACTGTGCTGCTGTGAAGTGGTATATAGACATCCTGAACAGCAAAACAACTGTTGTTTTAGCTGGCCAGAGATTTGTTACGTTGCCATAACAATATGCTTTAACAAATGTTGAACTTGGGAGCATTTCCTTTTGCCAGACTCCTCTTCCTCCTCAGTCCTAAGTTGGAGAAAGGCTTCTAAAATGGCATGGCTTTTCCAGGAAGGCAGGGGCAGTTGCCCAATACTCGTACGATCCTGAAGAGGAGGGCAGGGGCCGAAGCATTACACCTGCGCATAGGGCACACTACGTGTTAAAAACCCGGGAATACTTCACGAAGGAGCGTGGCTGCCCACACACCGCGCGCGGCACT